TTTCTTCCCCAAAGCCCCAGTAGCTAGTTGTATGTCGTAGTTGCACGTCTTTCTAGTTGCTGTATGTGGGACGCGGCCTCAGCATGGCCGGAGAAGCGGTGCATCGGTGCGCGCCCAGGATCCGAACCCCTGGCCGCCGGTAGTGGATCGCACGCACTCAACCGCTAAGCCACGAGGCCGGCCCATGTATTTCTAAAGTTTTTTCAGAGACATTTCATGTTGCTCTTTCATCTCGTACTGACACTTAAGTATATAAATTAGCAAACACTTATCAGGGAGGACCTGTTATTACAGTTGCACACATTCTCTTACATATGACACAGATGACTTTTAATCTAAGTTGATTATTAAGAACAATAGTAGTTTATAATAAAACAGCAATCTTGGTAAGAGTGATAGAAAATACAGAAATTAGAGTGATACAAAGGGTTTTCAGAAAATGTAAGTTTTTTAACAGCTTTATTGAGATATAATTAACATACAAAAAATTGCACGTGTAAAGTGTACGGTTTGGTAAGTTTTGGTGTCGTCAGGAAGCTATCACCACAATTAAGATCATTATGTCCATCACCCTCAAAAGATACCTCCATCCACTTTGTTATCCCTCCCCCCACTCTCAAACAACTTCTGATCTCTTTTCTGTCACTCACTATAGATTGCATTTTCTAGAATTTAATATAAATGGACTCATAGAGCATGTGGGTGGGGTTTTTTGCCTGGCTTCTTTCTTTCTTTTTTTTTTTTTATAATTTTATTTATTTCTTTCTTTTTCCGCAAAGCCCCAGTAGATAGTTGTTTGTCGTAGTGCACATCCTTCTAGTTGCTGTATGTGGGACGCGGCCTCAGCATGGCCGGAGAAGCGGTGCGTCGGTGCGCGCCCGGGATCCCAACCCAGGCCGCTAGCAGCGGAGCGTGCTCACTTAACCGCTAAGCCACGGGGCCGGCCCTGCCTGGCTTCTTTCTTAGTTTGAGATTCATTGTTGTTATTGCATATAGCAGTATTTGATTTCTTTTCATTGCTGAGTAGTATTCCCTTAGATAGATACACCACAATTTGTTTATCTGTTCATCTGTTGGTGGACATTTGGGTTGCTTAGTTTTGGGCTATTATAAGTAATGCTGCTGTGAACATTCACATACAAGTCTGTTTATGGACATATATTTATTTCTTGGGGGTAAATACCTAGGAGTGGAACAGCTAACTCATATGGTAGATGTATGTTTAACTTTTTTAAAAACTGCTAGACTGTATTTCACCAGCCATATTTGAGAGTACCAGTTTCTCCAAATCCCCATCAACACTTGGGGTGGTCAGTCTTTTTAGATTTTAGTCTTTTAATAGGTATATAGTGGTATCTCGTAGTTTTAATTTGCTTTTTCCTAGTAACTAATGGTATTGAGCATCTTTTCACATGCTTATTTGCCATCCAAATTTCTTCTTTGGTGAAGTGCATGTCAGAGTTCTTTTTGGGGCTTTTTTTGGTGAGGAAGATTAGCCCTGAGCTAACATCTCTTGCCAATCCTCTTCTTTTTGCTGTGGAAGGTTGGCCTTGAGCTAACATCTATGTCCATCTTCCTCCATTTTATATGTGGGACGCCTGCCACAGCGTGGCTTGATAGGCGGTACGTAGATCTGTGCCCGGGGTCTGAACCCATGAACCCTGGGCCACTGAAGTGGAGTGCACAAACTTAACAACTACGCCACCGGGCTGGCCCTATGTATGAGTTTTGAAAGTTGAAGGTATCATTATTTCATTTATAAGAATTCTATTGGAATGATTTTTTATTAGCTATAGTGTATTATGCTCTCGTTTGCATCTTGTGAATTTTAAGATTTTTCATTTACTTCAAAGGCTAACTCTGAATTAAAATTATAAAATGTAAACATAACCATTTAATGTGTACATTGGTCTGGACTTAAATTTGGACATTTAAAAATTTTACATTACCTTATTCAGTTGTACAGTTTATATTCAGATATTTTTTAAATTCTAGGTTTCTCAAAATGTAAGGTAGTTCTTTCCATAATTAGGTCCTGCTCTAAGCTGTCAGAGTATTATTGTTAAAGTATTACTCCTCCTACCACTTTATTCACTGGGTGCAGCACAGCAAATAGATTTCAGGAAATAGAATCCAGAAAAAAAAGGACTTAAAAAGTACATATGCTGCCACAGCTTCTTTGCTCATAGAATATGAATGGGAATTTTTAAATGTTGGCCTACAGGAAGGAAATCATAATCTAAAAGCGTACTCTGACTTGCTAGTTTTCTAAACATTTTCTCATTTTAAGTTGTGATGAGGAATTATTTCTTCCTTAGGAAGATTTTCAATGAATAACTTTCTTTTTCAGTATTTCCACATGTAACACCGAAAGGAATTAATGGTATAGACTTCAAAGGGGAGGCGATAACTTTTAAAGCAACTACTGCTGGCATCCTTGCTACCCTTTCTCATTGTATTGAACTGATGGTAAAACGGGAAGACAGCTGGCAAAAGAGGCTGGACAAGGTAAGACTGGTTTTTCTTCCTTTTAAATAATAGTCAGATTTTATTTAAGTCTTACATATTGGTTGAACATTTAAACCAAACCAACTTCTTAGGGGAAAGTCTATTGGGTTGATAGAAGTAGCAGGCAGTACTCCTCTGAAACTTTGTGGACATCCTAAACTGGTTTTCCTAATGAGATTCACCAGTTAGGTATTCAGTTACTGTACAGTGTGCATTCTTGATAGACTTTTAATATAAAAATTTTTGTAATGATAATAGTAATGCTTTGGAATAGAAGTGATGAACCATTTAACATTATCCAGCTTTATTGTGTGATATATGAAACTGCATTTAAGTTATATGAACTAGTTTAAACACCAATTTGTAAAGTTAAACATTAACTTATTGTGTTCATAGCCATGTATATTTTCCAAGGTCATGGCGATATCATTTAACACACATTATGTTGTTCATTGAACATTTGCCTTATGTCCACCTTTTCCCGCCTTTGTTTAAGCTACAGCACTGATAACAATATTACAACATGCATCTTTAGTTTCTAGTGTAAAGTATGGCTCAGTGAATTTGTTTAGTAGGAAAACTTCTGTTTATAATTTGTCAGTAAAATAGTAAAATGTTGGAACTGAAACAGTTCCATTTAGTTCTAGTCCAGTGCCATCATTTTATAGAAGGAACTGAGGCCCAGAGACTTGTCCAGAGGTATTAAGTAGCAGAATTAGAAGAATTTTACCCTATTCTATATTTCAGCTCTGGATACTAGGCCAGACGTCGGTCAGAATCTTATCATTCATCAGTGAGTCATACTGCTTACAGTATCTGAAGGTCTTACCAATTTGAGCAGGATACTAAGGAAAGCAATATCATCACTGATGTAATGGCAGAATGGCCACAGGATTTGAATAGCTCTGTGTGTTTAAGAAGGTCCCCATGTTTAGAAGAAAAGAGAATTGGTCAGAAATTCTCAAGTGCAGGTGAGAGTAAGCCATATTGATTGGCAATATGTATTCTTTTGAAACAAGCAATGAACAAGTTCTTTTAAGGTACAGACATTTCATTATTATTCTGGAGTTGAATTCCTATATCTTCAAAGATTTCAACTCTATACTGATGTGGATCAAATTGAATTTTTAGGAGATTCTTTGTGCACAAAAAATAATGTATTGAGAAAACAGGATAACTCCTTAAATCCATTAGACTAATGGTTCAAGAGAATCGTTCAACTTATCCAGACTAGCTTATTTAAAACTTTACAGCAACTTTCTCTTAAGATCTCCTGTCTTTAGTCTGTTTGTCCTTCACTAAGAGATCATCTTCTGTCATATACTCTAACCACTTTACAATACTCTAAAAAAATATTCATTAAATAGAAAACAAGGCTTCTCCATCTTTTCAGCAATCAAATTTCTTATTTGAAAAGGGAGGTGAGCTTATGACTATCTTCACTGTTGGTAATCTTATCCATTCTCTTTCTTTGTTGGGTAGCAGTAAGTAGAGCAAACCAAAGGATCTGTGAAAAGATACTTTTGTTGCTTCTCCATGCACCACATCTAATCAAAGAACAGCCACAAAAGATGGCAGTATTAACTGAAATCTGGAAACTACTGTATTTGTAGTCCTCTTAACAGGTCTATCTGATATCAAATCTTATTCACCTTTTCCACTATAATTTTTTCTCAAGGTTGAAATAGGATCCCAGTTACATTTTACATGAAATTATGTTAGTATATGTGTGCATCTATGTGTGTGTATACATATATACAGTGTGTGTATATGAATAATATAGTGTATATATACACATATATATGCATATGTGTATGTACACACATGTATATACACAGACTCTCAATAAAGAAGGCTAGAAAGTTCTTGAATAGAGAGAGCTGTTTATCAACATATATGTCTTTTAGGTGATTCATATAATTGGGAAGGAAAGTGCAGTGATGACTTAATATATCACCACCTCAAGAGATGACTACAGTTCTAACTTATTATCATCATAGATTAGTTTAGCCTCTTCTTAAACATCATCTAAATGGAATTATACACTACACAGTTGTGTCTGGCTTTCCACCCCCCCCCCAACGTTGACTGTAAGCTTCATTCATGTTGTTACATTTAGTGGTAGTTTACTCTTTTTTATTGTTGTATAGTATTATTGTTGCATAGTATTCATTGTATGATAAATTTTCATTGTATGACTTCAATTTGTTTTACCTGCTGAGGGACATTTAGGTTTTTATATTTTGGCTATTGTGAATAAAGCGACTGTAAGCATCTTATGCATATCTTTTGGTGGACATATGCACTCATTTCTCTTGGGCATATACCTAGGAGTAGAATTGTTGAATCGTGGGGTATATGCTTAGCTTTAGTGGATGTTGACAAACAATTTTCCAAGGTGGTTATATCAATTTATATTCCCACCAGCAATAGATGAGATTTCCAGTTGCTCTTGACCTTTGACAACACTGGGTATTGTCAGTTTTTTGTGGGTGTTTTTTTGTTTTGTTTTATTTTTTAATTTTAGCCATTCTGGTGGGTCTGAAGTCCCATTTTCTCTTCACTACACAAAATCAGCTAATCTTTGGATCTAATGAACTAATTCATTGATTTGCACTAGCTTTAATTCAGATAGGGTATTTGGAAGTGATTAGCTTTGTGTGGGTCCAGTGTGGACTTTAGTTTAGCCCTTAGGTATTTGAGATGAGGGAATGAAGGCATCAGTTTCTCTACAGGCTTGTTAGACTTCAGCATCAGATTTGACCCACTGCAGCCCATTGTCGTGGAAATAGTTTGAGATTGGTGCCAGGGCCAGCCTTTGTCTTTTAAGTTTTGACATTGGATCTTTTCACCTCTTAGAGCTGTAGCCCTGTCTGTCAAAGGAGAGGGTTAAAATAGAATCTCAGCTCTTTTTCAGCTCTAAAATAGTTTTAACCAGCAGTGGGATAGTACAAGAAATTTATCTTTCTTGGATTACCTTTTAGCATTCATTGATTCTACCTGTTAATTGAGTTATTTTCTTCCTGGCATCCATTGTTTGCTCTTTTCTTTATAACAAAATAAATATAGCTCTTACTGGGGGGAAACAAACACCTGACTATATATTGTAGGCATTTCTCTGGTGTTAATTTATCCTTTTTTTTTTTAAGTGTAGACACTTTGGTAGTTACTTAATTCATTTAAATACATAACCTACCTGTAAGGTGATCTCAGTGGTGATTTAAATGTTAGCTTGTATACAATTTATAGCCCAGAGGAAAAGTGTTTCCTTGGGCAGAATAATACTCATTTTTTCACTGGAATAGAGTTATTTTTTGGCCAAAATATAAAATTTTGCTGAGATGCAGAGAAAATCCTCACTTCAAATGATAAATTTTTCATTTGCTTTTTTTTTTTTTAAATAGGAAATTGAGAAAAGAAGAAGAATAGAGGAAGCATACAAAAATGCCATGACAGAACTTAAGAAAAAATCCCACTTTGGAGGACCAGATTATGAGGTATGAAGTTATATTTTGATCCTAGAAAGGGAAACATATGGGCCATATCCATCACAAGAGTGGTTAATTTGTAAACAATACTTTTGTAACCTTTAACTATTCTAAATATATAATTTTTTCTTCAGTGTTTATTTTAATTAAGTATATATTTCCTAATATATAAATGCTAGGCCTACTCTGAAATAGATTTTTTTTATTGCCTGCGAAGTTTAGTATAGACTTTAAAAGGCTCATTATTAGGTCTGTCCACTTTATAGGACACGTTTTTATCTCCCCTGTGAGGATGATAATTTTTAATGTTATCTTGTAACTCATTTTTTTTTTTGTATAAAAGCAACCTATAGAGGAAAAACCTGAGTACTTTACAGACAAGAGATTTTAGTCTGTGCTATATACTATGAGGTCTCATCTGTAGCAGAGCGTGGAGTGTTCTGATTGCCTTGCCTTATGTTTGAAAATGTCTGAAACCGACTTCTTTCCCTTTTGGATATTTGTTAGACAGTTAGTAAAATCTCCCTCTCCTTATACACACACATATATTAAAATTTTATTTTCCGTGATATTTCTTTAAATAAAAAAAGTGTAAGATATATATCTGGTAATTGTCATTAACCTTGTTGATATTCCTGAAATGAACATTTTAAAAGTGGAATGGCATGGAGTATCGTTGAGATAGAAGTAGAATGATAAAATAGTTATAGTTAGATTATATTTAAGAAAATAGAAGAGAAACTTCTTGCCATTTCTAGAAAGGAAAAAAAAAAGAGCTGCTACTGACTGAATACTTTTTATGTTGGAATTTCCAAGTGTGGAAATCCATAATATGAAACTTGAGCTGTAATATGTATTTTAAAATTATTAAGCTGTCGATTCATTCCTTATAGAATGTATAAAAATTATATAATTAGATATTCTCTGCAGTTTTTAAAAATCTAGATTACTGAAATATAAGCTATTACAATTTTTATTCTGAAGCTAAGCAGATTGTTTTCCTGTTTTAGGTCTATTTTTGAGGGGAACTATCAACTTTTTGAGATTACCTTATTTTTTTATATTATAAATAAAATAGATATTCGTTATAGGAAGATTATACAAAATACAAAAAAGCCCATGTTTCTAATTTAACAATATATGGTACCGGTGTATATCCTGTCGGCAATATGTAGGTATAATTGTATACTTGTTTATCTCCACTTCTGTCAACACAGGTTTTTTTCCAGGGGAGAAGCACAGGGTGGAGGGAGGAAGAGCCTTGTGCTACGAATATGTGGTTACTAGTTTCCAATCCAAAAAAAAATGCTTTATTTTTTGATGTGATTTAGGCTTTCTTAGAAAAATGTTTATTGGCTCATTGATATTTTTCTTCTTTGGTGATTCACTTGTCCATGTCCCTTGACATTTTTCGTGTTAGGATTTTGGGGTTTTTTTCTCCCTGTTGAGTTAGAAGATATGTAGGATTGGCTTTTCATTTCTCAATTATTTTCCTCCTTTTGTAGTTTTTAAACAATCTTTTGATTGTTGGTTTCGCCATATAAAAGTTTTATACTTCCACGTAATTAATCCTTCAGTCTTGTGATATACTTACCTCTACATTTGGTATCATGCTTTAAAAAGCATTCTCTTGTCAACCTAAATATATAACTGAGGCAAGCTCAAATTACCAGAAATTGTGTTTATTGGGAATAGCAGAGGAATTGTAATTTGGGAAATGCATGTGATAGCAAGCTACAGGCAAGTCCGATGAAGGTATGGGGAGGCTAGCTTTATGGGCAAGGATGCAATAATGGGGGAGTCCAGCTAGAGTCCAAGCTGTAAGTTCATTGGCTTGAGGATGGAGAGAGATTCTTGGTGGATGTTCATTGGTCAGGAGATAAGTTTCAGTCTTCTGTAAATCAGGCATTTACGGGAAATCAGTCTCCTCATTTCTTAAGTTCCATTCTTCTGAGGGCACATGCATGAGAATTCTCCATTTTCTATCCTCTGGTTCCGTTTTAGATTGAAATCCTTTCACACTCTACTTGAAATAATTATCTGTATTTTCTGTTTTTTAAAAATTTTTTAATCATCTCTTCTAAACATATTGTTAATACATCTGGATTTTTAAAAATTATGGTTTAATGGAGGAATCTATATTTTATTCCACTGACATTTGTTGAATAAACCGTCCTTTTTCCACCCATTTGAAATGCACCTTCCTCTTTCTCTTTTAACGAAGAAAATGGTTAAGGGTACTTCATTTTTTTCCTCACCGACTCCCTGTGGTATCAAGTGAAGTACACAATTCTTAAATAAACTAGTGCCTGTTTTTACACTTTTGTTCTTCCTTTTGGAGTTTTGAACCATCTATATTTTCTTGCGTCAGTACTACACTTGCATGGATTTTAGACACTAATTCAAAATATGACTTTATTTTGGTTCTTGTCAAACATTCATAATGTTCCAATTATTGAACAAGGTTTAAATATTTCTCTCATCTGTAGCCTCAGAAATTACGATCTTAAATCTGTTCCTTAAGACTTACTGTAATGCAAGGCACTGTGCTAGGCATAGGGGATATTGCAAAGAATGAAGGAGACAAGGATCCTGCCTGAGGGCCCTACCTGAGTGTATAATGGAAACACAGACGTGTTAACAGGCAGTTAGAGTACTTATGAAGCACTTGTAACACTGGGAGGATGTTGTCAGGGTTGGCTCACCAGAGGAAACATCTTAGCCAAAAACTTAAGAAGGAGTAGGCTGAGTAGGTGTTAACCAGGCAAATAGCCTAGAAAGAGTGTTTGCTTATAGGGGCTGAGATGAAAGAAAACATTTGGAGGCCAGAAGCAAAAGATAGCAGTTTGCCACAAGGGACCTGAAAGAGCTCTTATCTGTGGAGGGTGGAACTGATTGAGAGGAGAGAGTGGTAAGACTGGCTAGAAAGGTCTGTAAGAATCAGTACAGACCCTCAGGCAATGGGTTTTAAGCAAGTGAAGTTTTCACATTTACGGTTTAAAAAATCATTCTTGCATGCACATGGATTGGAAGAATAAACATAGTTAAAATGTCTGTATTACCTAAAGCAATCTGGGGATTCAATGCAATCCCAATCAGAATGCCAATGACATTCTTCACGGAAATAGGAAAAAAGAATACTAAAATTCATATGGGGCAACAAAAGACCCCAAATAGCTAAAGCAATCCTAAGAAAAAAGAACAAAGCTGGAGGCATCACAATCCCTGACTTCAAAACATACTACAAAGCAATAGTAATCAAAACAGCATGG